GTACGGTACGGTACGGACGGACGGTACGGGACGGGACGGGACGGGACGGACGGACGGACGGACGGACGGACGGACGGAGGAGGAGGAGGAGGAGAGAGAGAGAGAGGGTGAGGAGGAGGAGTCGGAGCTGAAGAGGTCTCTGAAGTACAGCGAGGAGGCAGCCAGCACGGCGCGGTGGGCCTTGAAGGCCTGACCCTGCACGAGGACGGACACGTCGCAGTACTGACCGCGCAGACGCTGCTGGTTCAGGCTGACCAGAACGCTGCCGCCAAAGTCCGGGATCTCCACCTACAGGGACACATGCGGGGTCAGCGGTCTCAGCAGGAGGAAATGTCCATATCGACCAATCAGAATCCAGTATTCAACTATCCTCTTTTTATATTTGTGTTTTCGAGATTCAATCAGCACCGCCCCCCCTTCAGATGGGGCTGAACTAGGGTTGCCTTATACCTGAACAACAGTCCACTCTGATTTAAATCATCAGCCCCATCATGACCCTTTGTACCACAGGTCAACGTGACGCTGTTCACTGATTGGCTCGGGTCCTCCCTCGCCCCGGCCGTCCCATCTATATTAAGTCCAGCACTGACATCTTTAATACTAATATCTACCTCTTGACACTGTGTGGTCCAAAGAGCACATTCGTTACACTTACATTTTTGTATAAAACTAAAATGGAGCAATCTGCACCTGGGGGGTAAAGAAGTATTCTGATTATAGTTAAAGACTAGGTAGTGTTTCTGGATACTCTGTACTGGTTCACTCTCGACTTTGGTCCATCAGGTTGTTCTTAAACTGTGGGATAAAAGAACCCCTGGTCTGACAGTAACCCCCACCCCCCCAGTAACCCTGATCTTCTGACCTGCAGTAGCCCCTCCGACATGGTGGCCGCCGTCGGCCCAGAGGTCGGGAGAGGATGTGAAGGCGAGTGGGAGGCGGTCCGGAGAGTCTAGGTGTCAGGGATCCTGCAGAGAGCACCGCCAAAACGCTTCACATCCATGTTGCTGGTGAGGAGAGGTCAGAGTTCAGATGCTGGACCGTCAAGGTGGAGGTCAACACAGAAACAGCAGGAGGAGGAAGAACCTGAGAGGTCAGAGGTCATCGTCACTGGGTTGTGATTACACACAGAACAACACACATGCACAGCAGGACTGAACACAAACACACTGTTAAACGGAGAGATGTCGAGCAACAGGTTGCTCCCAACCAGGGGAGCAGTCAGGGATTCAGGGCGTTACTCAAGGGCACCTCAGTACTGGGTCGTTCAGGGTCTTGAACCGCTGACCTTCTGGCTCCCTAGCTAAGTCCAAAGGCCCCTATGGACTGACCCTAGGGGAACCTCTGTACTGATATCAGCAGGCAGGACTGAGGGTTAGGACCACCAACAAGGAACCTCAAACTGCTTCCTGTTCCTCCTTAACAGCTTCAGGTGAATCTCCCAGTGGACAAAACAGGAATGTGCTCAGTCCGCTCGGTCTCAGATCTGGTAAACTGGACGCCAAGGTACGCTAAGGTACGCCAAGGGACACCAAGGTACGCTAAGGTACGCCAAGGGACACCAAGGTACGCTAAGGTACGCCAAGGGATACCAAGGTACGCTAAGTGTACGCCACTT